ATAAATCCATTGCCTTGCTCCCTTCAAAAGCCTTCGAAATGGAAAAGACATAAATCCACAAGATCAAAAGGAAGGAAAGAGCAGATAAACAGCAACAAAATGTTGGAAGCTAAAGAACAGACCCCGGGGTGGGAAAGAGCTTACAGAAATGGGGAGGATGGAGCCTTAGCCAGCACCAGGGAAAGCCAAAGACAGCTGACTTTAGACTAAAACAGACAGGCAGGATCACTAGAGATAAAAGTGAAAGTGGTAGCAAAAATGACTCAGTTGGCAAAGGACAGTGTGAGAACCTGAGTTCAGATCCCCAGTGTCCACAATAAAATTCCAGATGGCATAATGTCTGTAACCCCAGTGTTTGCAGAGACAGAAGTAAGTAGAGTCCTGGGGCTCAATGGCCAGCAAGCCTACCAGATTTGGGGAGCCTCCAGGTTCAGGGCGAGACCCTTTCTCAGTAAACGATATAGAGTGTAACTCAAGAAAGGCACCCAGTATTGACCATTGGCATCCACATACAACATGTACATACAAACATGCAAAAGCAAAACCAGAAAGAAAAGAATTGGCTAAAAGTCAAAGAGATTGCCCTCCTAGATCTTGTTCTGTATCAAATAGGCAGACCACTGACCTTTGCCATGCAGACAAGGAGAGTTAAGACAGTTCTTCTGAGAGGGTGAAGCACAGGCTTCAGGGACAGTTAGATGACAGTAAGAGTCCAATACTTAAAACAGGCATTCAGCTCATGCTCATACATTGCCTGTTCAACACCCAGCCTTCTCTGCTCACTTGAGTTCCAGTGGCTTAGTCTCAAGCAAAGATTTAGGAATGTTATCCTTTGGTATACCAGATGACTTATGCAAAAGACCTGACACCAACATTCTAGCCAGGTCACTTATAGTGAAGCCTAGGGCTGTACAATCCCATATGCAAGAGCTGTGGTTAACAAATTATAAATAAGCCAGACAGGCACCTAAGGGTCTCCAGCATTAAAGCGGAAGTCTTCAGAACAAAACATACTGGGAAAGAGCCTTAGAGAAAACACAACATCCATGAGACAGAAACATTCTGTTACTAGAAAGGAACAGAGAAGAATAAGTGTTCTTAGAAATTAAGAATATGGCACAAAAGTTAGAAGATGAAACTACAAAAAGTTCTCAAGAACTAAAACAAAAATATTAAAGGAATGAAACCTAGGAAGAAACATGAAACTGGTAGAGTGTAGAGAGAAACCTTCCCGCCAGCCTGTTTCCAGAGCCGCATCAGTCCCAAATAAACACACAGGGGGCTATATTAATTATGAAGCTATTGGCCTTGCTTGTTTCTTACTGGCTAGCTCTGACTTTAGTATTTACCCCATAACTGCCAATCTAAGTATTTCTCTTACCAGAGAAAAGTTTCCAGGCTTCTTACCCCTATGGCGGTTACATCTTGACTCCCTGTGTTTCTCCTACCCAGAATCCTCCTCGACTCCTAGTCCCACCTATCTTGCTTCCCTATTGGCCAACAGTGCTTTAATGACATATACCCAGGACTTCCCCATCAGTAGAGGAATATCCAAGTGAGGTGGTAAGCATCAGAGATCCAAATCCAGAAACTTCTCCAGAACTGGAGGATGAGTTTCTAGATAAAAGGGGCCTTTTGAAGATGGACATAGTCCCACATATAATAAATACATTATGAATTTTTAGCACACCAGAAGTAGAAGAGAAAAATCCTAAAAATTCTCAAAGAGGAATAAAGAAATTCATTTGAAATACAACGACTAGGATTTAGCTGTAGTAAAACATCAGGGTAGATAGGAGGCAATAGAGCAATGCCTTAAAACAGTGATGTAAAGTTGCCCAACCTAGTTACATATTTCAACTGTCAGCACTCCTATGTGTTGACAGTCATTTTTACATATGTGTGAGCTCAACTCAACTTTTGTGGCATTTTTTTTCAGGAATACACTAGACAGAAAGCTCTCCTGAATTGAGAAAGTAAATCAGAAAAGTGAAGGAGCCAATGGCAGAAGGCAGGGGTGCCCTGAAGAGATAATCACATGACGTCTTAATGGGAAGAAATCAGAATGTTCCATCAAGGCTGTCTACCCATTTGATGCTGTGACATGATGTCATCTACAAAATGTATTAGTTTATATTCATAATTATCCAGGGACACATGTGGCCTGTATGGGGACTGAAGGTTAGACATGCCTGTTTAGGGGAACCTCCCCAAGATTAAATCACAAATATATCCAAATACTTTAGACAGTTTAAGAGATTTCCAAAATTATCTCTGGGGATAAATTAGTAACAAAATTGGGGAAGCTGAGTTGTGTGGATCAAAAGTTAAGTCCAGGAGGACAGATATACCTCATTAACAGAGAGGGTTTGATAGGAAGAATCACTGAGTGGCTGGACACCGAGAGTTAAAAAAGCAAAAAGAAGACTTTAAGTACCACAGAGATAAAAGATACAGGCAGTGGCTACCAGCTCTTCACAGGAGAGCAAAGAGAGACAGTGGACCAGTTCAGACTTGCAAGCTCAGAGGGAGAGTATCTGTCTGCGCTGCCTTGTTTTATGTCAACTTGACACAAGCTAGAGTCATCAGAGAGAAGGGAGCCTCAGTTGAGAAAATGCCTCCACAAGATTAGGCCCTAAGCAAACCTGTAGGGCATTCTTAGTTAGTGATTGATGTGGGAGGACCCAGTCTATCATGAGTGGTTACCATCCTGGGCTGGTGGTCCTGGTTTCTATAAAAAGGCAGACAGAGCAAGCCATAAGGAGCAAGCCAATAAGCAACACTCCTTCATGGCCTCTGCATCTGGTCCTCCCGCCAGATTCCTGCTCTTTTTGAATTCTGGTCCTGACTTCCTTTAAGGATTGACTATGATGTGGAAGTGTGAGCCAAATAGACCCTTTCCTCCCCAGCCTGCTTTTGGTTATGGTGCTTCATTGCAGCAGTACTAACTATGACTAAGACAGTGTCTGTGGATGGAGCCTAGACCTCTGAAGCACCAGATGATCAGGACTGTTGCTCTGAACTCAGAGAACGTGATCCATGGATCTGGAACCCACATTTTGGGTGTGGCATATCTCAAATGGGATATAATGAAACTGATTCTGCAAGTGAAAACTACACACCGGCATCTCCTCCCACTGTTGAGACACTATGCTGGTGTGAGGGAGGAGGGAGACAGAGACGAGACTCCCATGACAAGGAAGTTCAGGCAGCAAGCAGACATGCACAGCCCTCCTTCCTGTTGCAACCTCCCTATCTTTGTGTTTATGTGTCCATCTTCCCCTTCCCCGGTGACCCTTACTCTCAGTACCTAATAGGCCAGTGACTACCAACATAAAAATGTCCAAAGACACAAGGCAAACAATAGCCCACAGAAAAGGGGGTGGGGCAGGCTTGAAATCAATAGCAACCCCAAAACATACACCAGGGTTAACTTAATTCTGAGAAATTAAGGGCCCCCAAAAGATAAATGGTGAGAGTACCCGTTAAAGCTCAGCAGAGAACAGCTTTCATATTGTCACTGTTTTGCAAACACTGAAATCTTATTCAACTAAACTTCCCAAGAATGTGCTGACTAAATGGAGAAACTTAGAAGTGTGTTGTTCAAGGGGTGCGGGGAGGTGATGAAGAAGCTAAACACTTCTGCGTGATGGGAAATCAGCAGAAAGACATGTTGTGAGCTGGCCATTGTGAGATGCAGAGGTGAACACGAAAAACACAATTCACTGGAAAGGGTGGGAGTGACACCCCAGGGAAGCAGGGACAGAAGGGGACACCTGGATGGTTGCTTCTCAGAGCAAGCCTTGCCAGGTACAACGGTTGGCACAATTTCTTTAGGCAGGCACTCTATCTTTCCTCCTCTCTCTGGTTACTGTCCAGTTATGGTGACCACTGGTAAGAAAGGGCTGCTCACCAGCCATGCTGAGACCTTGCTCTGAAGCTAAATGAACCTAGAATTTCATTGAGAAAACCCTGTGTAACCAAAAACAGTTTGCAAGGCTGATCAGAACCCATGCAGGCAGAGCAGACCTGTACTCACACTTGTAGAAATGAGTGCTTAATTAAGGACTGTTTTGGGTCATCATGAGACTGACATGACCCTTGCAATGCTAATCCAACCTGTGTCAGGAGCTGACAGCTCACCTGTTTGGCTTCATATATACCAGAGCATAGCAGAGCCAGGCTCTCTCTGTGTCCAAGGAGTCTGCATCTGTCGGCACCCAAGGAGAGCAGCAGTGATTAATGAGATGTTGAGTCTGGGCTGGGAGCAAACGCAGAGCCTGAGCTACTGACTCAGAGCCAAAGGCCCTTCAAAAGGTGCATTAACACCAGTTCATCAGAGCCCGGGGGAGCATATGCCCTAATTCTTTGTGTAATAGTGAACCTACTCTAGTTTATGTGGGCTTCAGGGTGATAAGACATGTATAGTCATTCAAATGTGTCCAAGTCCTCTTCTCTGCATGCAGGATCAACCCTCCTGTAAGTGCAGCTATAACACTTGCTTGTGCAAGCACCAGCTCTGAGAGGTCGCCACAACTCCGAAGTGTCCCTGCTCCTTCTCAGGGGCTGCCTGACCCCAAGGCCTTCCTCTCACAGTGTAACTCCCAACTCTCACCAGCTCTGGCCTGTCCTTACATTCTGCTGGAAGGAATGCCCTCTCTGTGTCATTTGGAGGGAAAGACAAAACAGGTCCCAGGGATGCTGTGGAGCCTGACTGCCTAAGTATCTTTGCACTCCAAGTAGTAACAAAACGGGAAGATGATGAAGTGACCTAGGGAAGAAGATCCAAGTAATGTTTGCTTTTAATCAGGGAGATGCCATGCATTAAATCATCAATCATGACACTCTCCGAAGCTTTGAAAGAGCCAATAGGTCTCCCAAGGTAGCCAGTCACACGTCACATTTAACCCTTAGCAAAGAGCAGCCCCCAAAGTCTGTTCCAGGCGGTTGGCTCACCTGACTCAAGCTAAGGTTAATGTGAGTGCTCTCTTCTCTTTCAGACTATGACATTTGTGCCCAGGCTCCCTGTGAACAGCAATGCACAGATAACTTCGGCCGAGTGCTGTGCACTTGTTACCCAGGATACCGCTATGACCGTGAGAGACACCAAAAGCGGGAGAAGCCGTACTGCCTGGGTACGTAGGAAATGCATTTCTAGCTCTAGGGGACACACTGTGTTCAGATACATCTGCTCTTTGTTGGATTTGCTGTACATCATCAGAACTGAGTCAGAGGAGCTGCTGTAAGCTCTGGTTCCTCCCCTGAAGCCTTTGCATTTGTGGGATGGAGTGGTGACTGGTTTTAGCCTGTGGGCCAATAGCTTTTGTCATGTTTACCAAAACAAATAATGTACAAAGATGTCTCCAGGAACTAGTCAGAGCCTAACTGAGAGGAGAAATAAGAGCTAGATAAAAAGGAGTGTCCCACGTAAACTAGAATGGTGTAAGACAGAGCATAAAGAGTTTCAGGCCAGGTGTGGTGAACTTGCGAGGGAGAGGCAGAGGCAGGACGTTCTCTCTGAGTTCGAGGCCAGCCTACTCAACATGTTGAGTTCCAGGACAGCCAGCTTTATATAGAAAGAGCCTTTCTCATGAAAAGAAAAATCAGGAAAGTAAAAACATGGAACAAGCAGGGGCCCAAGCAGGACAACCGGAGTATTGGTAGGTCAGGCAGGCAAGAAGCAGTTTGAAGAAAGCAGAGGCCAACTGCTGGGACTACAGCTGAGTCATCCTCAGTGGCCACCAGCCTGTTTCTTTTGTTCCTATTGACCCGGGTTCCCCGCCACGCCCTTCTAAGAAGGTTTCAGACTCATTGTCTCAAGTGTTATACATTTCAAAGTGTGATCATGCTGTGGCTAACCTGGAGTCTTGGCCTCCTCTCCAGGGCTAATAAGACATAGCTCTGAGTAGTAGACCCAGGAATGTGCCTTTTCACAAATGGCACTAAGTGACTGACAGGTTTAGTGAAGTTTAAGAAACTGAGCCAGTCAATAGACTCGAGTGGGAATTAAAGCTGCCTTGATAAGTTGCCCTTCCCCTCAGTCCACCAGGGTTCTGGGAAGAACTTTTGGGAAAATTCTAGCCATAGGCCTTCGGCAGCCTCCCAACAGTATCCAGAAACAGTATCACACACTAACAAGGGGTGGGGCCAACACAATTAAGTAAATAGAGCAGGAGCCCATGACACCACCTACATAAAGCCGGGGGTGTTCCCAGTGGCTCAGTGCCACACATGAAGGCTAATGTTTCAGTGTCCAAGAACTACTTTAACCTTCTGTTTTCTTTTGGTGACCAGAGGAGTTTCGGTTCAACAAAGAGTGCCCCCAAAGGACAACTGCTTCATAATTAGCATTAGGACAGGGTCACCTCTAAGTAGGCTTCAGTTGGGACCCCCAACCTCTAGATGACAGTGTAAACTGCCAGGGGAACACCCACATTGCCGTGCTCTCCCTGGCACCCTCAGCTCCTGTCAGAGCTAGGACTTTGGCAGCTTGCCCAGGGAGCTGTTGGGAAGCTGTCAGTCTTCTGAATTTCAGGGCTAGGTTCTGCCTGCCACATGTGTAGAGTCTGAGGTTATGTCCTTGCTCCTATCCACTACATCAGGTGTCTTCATCCAGTGGACAGGAAATGGAATACAGCCTTCCCCTCTTTCCTGTGGCGAGAAACATTTTTGTTTCCACCCCATGCCACAGGGAACTGAGTCAGTGATGTACACAGTCCATGCTGACTCTTGTGGTCCCTTGTTTGATGAGCTCATGGCTCATTTCCACAGCTCACCAGGGGTCAGCTTGGGTCACTATAGAGCAGGGACTGCCTGGGGAATCCTCTCTCCACGAGGCCCATCCTACTATTTACTTTTGTTAGAAGTAGCTTTTTTCAGTTACTGTCATGTCTCTTAACTGGGAAGAGACCATTCCTAAGTGATCTTTGGGTCACCATCATGCTGTTTGGAACCTCCCATTATAAACGGGGATTAAGCCTCAGCATACCAAGCTACCTGCAGAAGTCAGCTGGGTTACTGGTCATCTTGTTTTCTCTTCCATGGAGCCCTGAGGAGTGCTTGGGGCTGGCCTCATTGTCATGCTCTATAGGTGAGTGAGCCTCTGAGGCACCAACCCACATGACAGACACCACCACCCTAGGTCTCTAATGACAGGCACATGACTATACTTTATTCCACACTTCTCTGGCTCAAGTCTAGAAGTTTCTCTTTCTCATGTCAACAGAGGGGCGAGTTGCGTTGCTGTGTTGAAATTGTTCTATATATTGATTCAAACCAGATATTGACGAATGTGCCAGCAGCAACACCACTCTGTGTATGCACATCTGTATCAACACCATGGGCAGCTACCACTGTGAGTGCCGGGAGGGCTATATCCTTGAGGACGACGGGAAGACCTGCACCAGGGGAGACAAATACCCCAACGACACTGGTGAGCAGGACAAGCACGATACCCCTAACTATGTGCATGTTTCTGTTAGATATTATATAGAGTGTCAGTTTGAGAATTACATACACATGCAATGAAATTGTATATGTTTATGTAATTTTATATCCTACAAATGTAGCTTATATGTATAATGCATATTGCATATTGCATATTTATATGTAAAATGATATTCCATGTAGTATCTTATAATATGTATGCATGGTATATAATAATACTTGCATATTATAGTATATAAAATGCAATTAGGTATAATCTACAGTCCATATTGTGTAATTATACTATATATAGTACATGTTATTTTTAGTGTTGTATATGTATTATTTATCCCATTTTATATATTTGTATGTAGTATATATTATACATAACATGTAAATTATAGGTACTTGGGAGCCTAACCACTCCTCTGGTGACTCTGTGCAAGATGGGACACTTACAAGTGGGACCTAGGTGAGAACCAAAGTTTAAACTCATCCTAAGGAGAGCTGGTGGGAGCAGTGTCTGTAGTGAGTATTGCAAGCTGACATTTGCTGGAGGAAGGTGGCATGCTCATGGAGAAATCAGCAGCATTTGACTGTGTGCATTCAGGAATCTAGAATGAACAGGGAAGAGGCCAGATGGAATGTGTTCTCTCAAAGAAAATATGTTGAAATGTGTATTTGAATAATTTCTACATATAGTTAGTCCCAGTCTATTTCAACACAATTCAAAATGCAGTCCATATTGTGTGCCCATCTGTGAACTAGTTGTTTGGTTCCTGATCAGATAAAAACAGAAAATGAGAGTGTGAATGCATTTTTACACTGATTTGACAGAGGACATTCATTTAAATTCCAAATTTTATGGTTGTATTTCATGTGTAATCTTTCGAGCAACTCATTTTGTACCAGTCCACAGTCAGTTATAAAATTTCAACCATCTGGGGCTTCTGGGTGAAGCTGAGAGGCTGCTGGACATGAGCATGGCGTCCAGATTCAGCCAAGATGGCTGGTTCCTGGATCATGGGATCAGCCTGCATGTTGGTTTACTTCCGAGAGTTTGAAGGAAACAAGAAAGAATGAAGTAAAAAAGGAACAAAGGGAAAAGAAAAGAACTCCCAGATTGGTGAGGCATGCTTGTAACAGTCACTTGAAAAGTAACTCTGATATCTCTGCCAAATGCCAAGCTAGTCATTCAAGTTTAGAATTTTAGCCTGTGGGGACCAATGTCGGTCACCTTCCAGCTGGAATGAACTTTGAGGCAAAATACTGTTCTCTCCCAGTGTTGGCCAAACAAGTTCCCAGGAGAGACAGTCCTTATCCATGTAGAGGGCCAGAAGTTTTGTACATGATGAACATGCACGTTGCACATGCCTGAGCACACACATGAACTCACAGTCAAGAGAGGTTAGAGGGCCTGAGCCATCCCTGGAAAGGGAGGAGGCTCCTAGGGCAAATCACATGTACCAAGATGTGCAGGGAGTTGAGAAAACCAGAAACATCTGGGCACTCACGAGATGGAGCCTGAGCTTCAAAAGGGGCTGGGAGGCAGCAGACAGCTGGAGACCAGCTGCCTCACGAGGAGCAACTACAAAGGCGGGTTCTGGAGGGCAGCTAGGTTGAGTCATGGAGAAGCCACCATGTGCAAAAAGTAAATGCAAAATAGTTCCTTGGAGTCAGCTCTGGACAGGGCATTCGGGGATCCTGTACTTGAGCTAGAGGGCTGAGCATGGGACACCTTTGAGACTCTGAAGCACATGGAGCCTGCCCGTCCAGAGGGCAGCACAGACCAAGGGACAGCAATCTTTGGGGAACATAGTTTTAATTGGGAAAATAATTTACAGACCATTTTTTTCACTCAAAATTGCCATCACTACAGCGTGCCCCATGTGCAAAGAGTGTGAGAGAAGGGCAGGGAGGCATGTCACATCTCTTTATCAAATGAAGGTATTCGTTGACGGTGGGTGCCACCTTTTCAGCCACCAACCCATCAGATGCGGGACTGTGAGGAAAATAGTCGCAGGAAGGCTGCTTTCTAAGGTTTTGTTATAGAGTTGGATTTCTAGCCACCTGCATACAGGTGGCTGTGGGTTGCCTGTATACAGTGCTTTGACACTGTTCTCTGGACCTGTTCTCCTCAGGATCTAGGCCACTGTTGATCTCCAGCTCCAGGGCTCTTTACTCTTGGAAAATGTTTCCAATTGCTGGGATGCAGCATCTAGCAAGGCAAATCCTCCCTGCATTGCCATTCCCTTGCGCTCTATCTGTGCAAATACTCAGACTTGAAAATACGCCCAGCTTTGACACCTTCTGTGTAGGGAACGTTTCTTACGCTATCTCAAGGGTGAGTGATTTCACATCTGAACAAGCAGTTCACTAGTAAGCCATGCTCACAGCAAAGCGAGCTCTCTGGACATGAGGCAGCCAAGCATTTCCAGCTGCTTTGGACAAATTAGTCAGCCCAGTATTTCATCACTTTGTTTTAATAAATGAAGATAATGAATATTGAGTAGAAGCACATGATCTAAAAATCACCTCTCCCCGGCTGCTATACATTTTGAGTTTGGGGGAAGTTCTTTAGGGAGAGATATTTCTTACGCTTTTCATTGTCCAACATCTACACAGTTACAGTCAGACAGATTTAAAATAGAAGTTCAGGGTCAGTCAGTGAGCTGCTTGTCATGCAAGCCTGATGGACTGAGTTTGATCCCAGAACCTATGTAAAGGTGGAAGAAGGGACCTGCACCACAAAGTTATCTGCGTGTGTCCATGGAGACAAATGTATGTCTCCCCATGCATGCTTTGGTGTGCTTGTGTGCACACACACACACACACAGTTCAGTAAAATTTAAAACTAGAATAGTAATAATAATGATGATGATGATGATGATATGGACAGCTAGCAGCATAGAAGGGATGTGGCCCTAGGACAGCCTCTGACGATTTGAAAGACTGTCCCCTGGCTGGGTGATACAAGCCATCTGACATATCAGTGTTCAACCACTTTGATTTTTATCTTTGAAAACCCAGAGCTGGAGCCAGCTGAGACACAGGGGAGTCTGCGTAGTGCAGACAATGAAGGAAATGTTGGCTCCATCGTGATTAGCTCGCTGGCCTTTATTTTTCAACTTGTGTTTATTTTCTGATAAGTTACCGTGACCCCAAGTGTCATTCAATATAGTTCAAAGACTCAGAAACGACCAGGTGTTTCAAATAACGTTCAAGCTCTGATAATAATAGATTAGGGATTTCTTAACGTGGGCAATGTTAAAACATACTGATACTGTCCCTTACTGCCACCCTCAGGTGGGCGGATGAAGTAGATTCCAGGAGAGTTTTCAAAGCCACCCCAACCCCTCCCCACAGAGGATTGTGTATGTACCCAGACTGAGTTCACAAAACATCACAGTCAAGTTTTTAAACCAAAATGCTTTACTCACTTGTGGCACTTCCCATATGAAGCACACTCGGGTTTTTCTAAGTTTATTTGATATTGTTACTCTAATATCTAAGACGTTAAATTTCTAGTGGTCCGCATGTCTAACCGGACTCTCATAAAAATTAGTGCTCCATGCCCCCGTGTGGCTAGTTGGTAGTACTGCATCCTTAAAATTTGGGAAGTCAGCAAAATTGAGCAGGGAGCATACTTAGATATACAGTATAAAGTTTAGTGTATAAAGTTCCCTGGACCTGCCAGACCACATCTGGGTGTTCTCAACAGAAAGTCAAATAACAGCTTCCATTTGTGCCTACCCCATGCCCCCAATAATTGTATGGTCTGCACATCTGGGTAATCAAGCTACCTTACCCCTCTAGGTCTTTATCTGTAAGAGAGTGCTTAAGATGTGTCAACTCATTTATCCCGGGTATACACATGGACTTTGGGCACCCATCCAACAATGAGAGATGCACTCTCACCCTAGATTCTCTTTTCCCTGAATGAAATGACAGACTATGGACACCCCCATGGAGGGTCTCACCCCTCCACCTGGGGAAATGAAAGGATACTGGGGGGGGGGGGTTAGTGAGAGGGCACAGGAGGAGGAGAGGGAAAGGGAGAGGGACCCAGAATTGACATGTGAAGCAACCTTGTTTCTAATTTAAATTTAAATTTAAATTTAAAAAATTAAAAAAAGATGTGTCAACTCTAACATGCCATGATCCATATAACATGAGTCTGGCACAGAGTGATAAGGTAGGTTTATCCTGTCATGTAAATATGCAATTGTACCAACACTTGGAAAATCCAGCTGGGAATGTGCAGAGGTGCAGAGATCCACTTTTCACTCCTGTATGTGTACCCTCAACAGGTGGCGTGGCCTTACACCAAGGTCAGGTGTAAATTGAGAAGCAGAAGTGTTCATTTTTATCTCCCATTCATAATAGCTCCCTCTCACAGTGCGCAGCTCTGTAGAAGAAGAGGGTGGGTGGAAGAATGGAGTAATGATGAAGGTGAATTATCAACTTGTCAAGCTGTGAGTCATCTGAGAAGAATCTCAATGAGCAATAATCTGATTATCTGAATTGAATTCATCTATGGGCATATGGAGTGCATGCCTTGATTATGCTGATCCTTAGTTGAAGACCCAGCCTAAAAGTGGGGACATCATTCTGGACTGTATAAAAGAAGGAAGTGAGCTGGGTGTAAAACCCCGCACTCATGTCTCTCTGCTCTTGACTGGCTATGACCAGCTGCTTCCGTTTCCTGCCACCTTGATTACCCCGCAGTGACAGGTTATGACCTGGAATTGGGAGCTAAAATAAGCCCTTCGAGCCCTAGGTTGCCTTTGTTGGGGTGTTTTATCATAGTGACAAGGACCAAAACGAGGACAGATGGGTGCCCTGGCAGTGGATGAGTGCTTCAGAAAGATGGATGGCTCTGCGCATACGATGGAGTTGCACCCTTAGTGGTGAAAAAAGTGAATCCTTAGTCAGCTTCAGATACACTCACAAAAGAGAAGGGAGCACCCCTGCAGAAGCAGCTCTGTGTCTGGTGGGTTTGTAGCTACGCACGGACAGTGGAATGCAGTCCATCTCTCCTGGCCGAGTGATGCGGCCGTTGGAATGAGGGCTTTGTGTCATCACCTTCCAGCTGTCTTCTCCAGCATGGCTCTGTTTTCAGACTCAATGTGCTGGGCCACACTCAAGCTGGACCACATTCCCCCTGAATACTGCACCGTCACAGACGGGGAAAGGCAGTCACCGCCGTGTGAGCTGCTGTCTGAGAGTGAGAATATGTGTAACACGTGGACTTTGGCCTCTGGGGAACAATAAGATCATGTCTCACTTGTAGAGCCGCCATCCTAGAAAGCACTAACAAATGCACACATTTCCACACATGAAAGCTGCTAGGAAAAGGACGTAACACGTGTTTTCACACCCTTGGAACGTCTAAGAACAGCCGGCCCCCAAAGAGTAGCAGGGCTTGTCTCTCTGTCCCTTCCCCCCTCCCCCGACCCTGGATCATTCTGGATCAACCAGAGAACCATAAAGCCGTCAACACCTGCCCCTTATGCCTTCCATGGTCGGCCTCTCTGTACCCCATGCCCAGAGACTGCCCTTCTGGTGCCATCTCTCCAGGAACGTGCCCTGCTAAGCCTCCGGGCTGGAGCTGAGCCTGTGTCTCTCCCCAGGACACGAGGAGAAGGCCGAGGCCGAGGCGAAAGCTGGGACCTGCTGCGCCACATGCAAGGAGTTCTCCCAGATGAAGCAGACAGTGCTGCAGCTGAAGCAGAAGGTACACTGAGCTCGGCGGGGGGGGGTGGTGGAGCAGGGGGGAGGGATGGGGGGACGCCCATGTGGGGGGTTGGGGCATGGTGGGTGAGTGAGAAGCTAGATCATTCTCCCAGAGCACTCAGTGTGTGCGGTGGGCGTCACCTAGATGTGAGGATGTTTCCCCACTCCAGAGCTGACCACCCCAACAGCAATGGAGCACAAAGGGGTGGGGTACGCGTTAAGTTGTTGAATGAGTAGAACTAAGACTGCCATGGCTTCTTGAGGAAGGTATAGATTCATGGCCCTGGGCAGACCCATGCAATGATATTTTATCTGTCTCATTCATTCAGGACATTCCCTTTTAAACATTCTCTCTCTTCTATAAGCCAATGTCTTCCTGTGGTACTTTAATTTTCTCATGGAACTTTGTGGTCGGGGGGGGGTATGCATCTGGGAAGTCAGTCCTCTGAGTGTTTCATGTCACTTAGGAGTGAGGACCAACTCCCTTTCCAAAAGACTCGGCCTGGTGAGATGGGTACCAGGGCCCTGGTAATGTTATCCAGCTGGGAGGAAGGGCCTCGTGATGGATGTCGCGGCCTGGATTCTTGGGTGACTGTCCTGGGTTGGTGTTTATTACACCTGAGGTCAGCACACTTGCTGGCTTGTCGGCCACTCTGGAACTGTTCTTCAGCTGCCCAAACATAAACTTAGAGCTTTGTTTGTTTAATCACTTCCACTCAAGGCTCTCGGGAGATCAAAGTGGTGTGTATAATCTGTTTAACTTTGGCAGTCAGTTATTCTAAGGGTAAACATGAGACACTATCTCTTCCGCGGCCAGAAAAGTGGCAGCTGCCCTAATGAGAAGTCCAGCTACCAGCTAAACCAAGGAACAACAGGCCGAGAAGGGAAGCGGTGTTTCCCATTTCTGATGCATGGGCTGGTGAGGTCATGATCGACTTTAGCAGAGGCTTGCATGTACCTGTGTGTTAAACTGTATAATCGAGACTGAATCATGGACCTAATCATAAATAGCTTGTGATATAATAGACAGACAGAAAACCTTGTCTGGGTGCCAGTATAAACAAAGAGAAAGAAGGAAATATTTCCCATACAGCTATCCCCAGGTGACACTTGAATTGATGTTAGCAGTTTTAGAGGAAACCCAGAAGGTTTGTAGAAGACTTAAGCTCGTCTTTCATAGGCTAGAGCATCAGGCTTGGAGGGCGGGGTAGTTGATTATGCTGCCTTCACTTTCCTTCCCTGGAAATAACCTATGACCTTACATAAATTCTTTCCAGCTGGAGTGGTTTTAAGGCATTCAACATGGCAAGCTATTCACAAACCAGCTGCCGTGTTTGACCTTCTTAGCTGCCCAGCATTGCTGTGTAATCCATGCAAGCTGAGAAAGACTGAAAAGTTGAGTGGCTTAGGTTGAGATACACGTGACCCTCGGAGGTTCACTGGTGTTTCATGGGAATCATGAGGTGGTCTCAGTCTGCACTAGCTCCCATGCTATTGTGTTGAGCAAGTATTGCTCTACCTTATGTCTCACTGCCCCTTTGCATGCAGCATGAACACTGGCATTCATGGGGCATTATGAGAAGTGAGTCTTTGTGTGTGTGTGTGTGTGTGTGTGTGTGTGTGTGTGTGTGTGTGTGTGTGTGTATGGGGGGGGTGGTATGCGCCTGCATATGCATAGAGGGTTGTTTACCTGTCTGTGTGCATATGTGGAGGCCAGAAATCAATGTTAGTTGTTTTCCTGCATCAGTCTCGAACTTATATTTTGAAACCTGGAGCTTGCCATTTCAGTTAGACTGGCTGGCTAGCAAGTCCCTGGGATCTGTCTGTCTCCATCACCCCAGTGCAGGGCTGTAGATGTGTGCTTCCATGCCCTGCGTTTACATGCGTACGGGGGATCCAAGCTCAGGGCAAACGCTTGCACCCTGTCCCTATCCCGTTTCCTTTTTCTTTCCTTTCGTTTCCTCCCTTTCATTTTCTTCCCTCTTCCTTTCCCTTGCTTTTATTCCTACCACCTCTTCCTTTCTTCTCCCTGTTCCCTTCTTCCAGACAGGTCTCCTCTGTAACCCAAGCTGGCCTTTGGCTAGCTATGCAGTAGAAGATGACCTTGAACTTCTGATCTTTCTGGCTCCACATCCCAAATTCCAGGTTCACAGGCATGCGTCGCTATACCCAGCTGAGGGTCAATTCTCTTTAAAAGGTACCTCCTGGAATGTACAGCTTCCTATCCTATGTGAAGCAGTTTTCTATACATAATTTTACTTAACTGTCATAATAGCCTTGTAAGAAACTTGCTAGTAATCCCAGAGATGAGTTTATGCTCAAGAGGTCAGACCTAAAAATGCAGACCTTCTCCCAAAGCCTGGTGTAGATCATTTGCTTTTAACATCCACTTGCTACTGCCGATACCATCTGTTCTTCTCATAGAACACAGCACATTTATTTGCCTAGATAAACATTGTCCAAGAAGTAGATGTATGGGGAGGGGAGTGCTGGAGAGCAGCCAACCCCACAGCATGAGATGGTGTGCACACATGTGGGACTACACCGTGAGTACACGGTAGTCAAAATGCTAGCCACAAAAAATGCCCCAGGTCAAATCCCGTGGCTCTTCAGGGATCAATTGGAAAAGAAATCCACATAAAACAGCAATATGGAGAATATAAGGAACCGCCAAGACCTGTCGTCACTTCTTAACTAGCAAAGTTAGACAAGGTGTTTAGGTAAAAGGTAAGGGCTGCCTGGTGGTGAGTTGCTTGTTTAATGCAGGACACAATGTACAGCTCAGTGGTTACTTTGGAAGAGAGGGAGGGAGGGAGGTAAGGGAGGGAGGGAGGGAGGGAGGGAGGGAGGGAGGGAGGGAGGGAAGGAGATTAGGGAGGGAGAGAAGGAAGACTTAGGGAGATGTGGGGGTGGCTGAAAGTTCTACGTGTTGGCTGCATCTGTTCTATGAACTTCCTGTTTGGGGCTTGTATTGTCCATTCAGACCTCAGTGCCTCTTCCCCTTCATTTTATTTTAAAGTCAGAAAAGAAAAGTGATCTACTGAGAAAGGGAGCCTGGGGACAGGTAAAGTAACTGCCATTGAGCTTTTGGTTGGGCACTGAGGAAAAAGGAGAGCCACACAGCCTGTTGGTTTCTCTTTTGAAATTTATTCTCATGGCTGCATGGACTGCTAGGAGTAAGATAGCATATAGGACGAGGGGAGAAAGACCCCAAAGAGAGAGGCATAGTTGGTCGGGAAGCCTGCTCAGAAGTTTGGGACCCACAAGTGTGCTCAGCCTCCAAAGGCCACTGTATAGGGAGCAAGGGATCCCTCCCCTCTTACACCAGCAACACATAGTTAACCCATAGTGAGCACTCAAGATGATGTTGCAAGTATTTGCTGAGCTGGGTTCTACAGTTGCCTGAGAAATGAGGAAATACAAGCAGTATGGAACAAAGTCCTGTCTCAAGTAAGTTGATATTTTACAAAGAAACCAAGTCAACAGTGTAACTTAATGGTGATTGAATGGACTGAGGAGGTAGCCACGCTTGAGAAGTCAGGGGGTCAGTGAGGTGCATACAGTGAGCAGGCTCACTGCGATCCTTGATCACTTTCCTACCAAGCATATATGCAGGTTCTGAACTGACTTCCCCAGCTATATCACACACACACACACTCGCACACATAAATACATGGCACAAAATTTTTAAAGAAAATGTACAGATATACCATGAAATTTTATTGAACCACAAAGAATAATTATGTCATTTCCAGAAATATATATATGTATGATATGTATATACATACATACATAAAACTTCCTGAAGGGAAATCAGGGAAGGAACCTTGAGGGAGAAACTGAAATGGGCCATGGAGGAACACTGATTATCAGCTTGTTCACAATGACTAGATCAGCCTGCTTCCTTATACACCCCAAGACCACCTGCCCAGGAGTGGTACTACCAACAGTGGGCTGGGATCTCCTGCATCAATTACTAATCAAGAAAATACCCTACTGGCTTGCCTACAGGACACTCTTCTAGGGGCATTTTCTCAGATACTTCTTCCAAGATGACCAGAGCTGGCCAAATTGGCAAAAACAAACCAGACCAAATGTTTTATCACATTTTCAGGTTTTAGATTGTATATTGATATATAAAGATTTCTGTGCATGCAGAATCACGAGAAGGTCTTGCAGCAGCTACCGACGACTCTAACATAGACTTCCTCCCTCGTGGAGCAATGCTGACTTTCTGACCCAGGTCTCACTTGTCTTTATAGATTGCTTTGCTTCCCAACAATGCTGCTGAGCTGGGCAAGTATGTCAATGGTGACAAGGTGCTGGCCTCAAACACCTACCTTCCGGGACCTCCTGGCCTGCCTGGGGGGCAGGGTCCACCCGGTGAGTATGAAGAAGAACTTAGGAAGCTGATGGCGTTTCTGCCCTCTCCACACACTAGAACATGGGCTGGCTGGGAGCTCACACTCGTTGTGGTTGGACAGTGTTCTTCAACTTCCTCCAGGTCTCACAAATGAAAGCTGATATGTGCCTGTTGATGAGAGGCCATGGGGGAGTTGGGTCCTGTAGCTTGGGAAGAAAGGATTAATTTTCTGAATCATTTTTTAAAAGTTAATAGTGGTACCACACACCTGGTTAATTTTCTGGTCATTTTAAAAGGTGATAATGGCACCGCGCACCTGGAATCCCAGTACTCAGCCGGAATAAGAGTCTAGCCTGGGCTACATGATGAGAGCCTATCTCAGAAACAATTATTTTAGGTTAATGAGCAGCACCATGAAGACTGTTACTTAACATATAGAGCAATTGACTCATAAAGTCATCCAGTGCTACTGAATGGCAGCCAGCTCTGTCTCCACTCTCCTGGCTCCTTTGTCTACCTCCTCTTATTGCTTAACCCATCTTCAAATCTCCCCTCACTCCTGCTATGTTGTCAGTGGGGTTTGCTTTTGTAGAGATCATATGATGAGGCAGGCCATCCCAAGGCTGAGTTTTAGTTTTGCCAAGTATAGGCCCCCCTGTAACTTATACTCCACACCTACCTCACAGTACAGGAAATTTCCACCATCCACAAAGTTCCCTTGAGACATGGACCACCAGTGTTCTCCCTGTACCAGCTCTAGGTATCCACCATCTGCCTTCCTTTGGCACGGCTTTCCCATTCTAGGACTGCCTTTCAGAGCACTACCGTAGCATGTGTTCTGTGTGGCCGTCTTATTTCTAGCAGCATACAGTTTCAGAAATTCATCCTCACATAATTAGAAGCTATAGTGAGAACTTGTTTCTTCAAGTTCTGAGGTGTTTTACACTTTATCATGAACTCTCCGTACATACATCAGTAGAGGCTTTCACACCAATAGAGGAAATGGTTAGTATGGGACTCTAAACCATGGCTGTCTTATCCCTCATTATCAACTCAGCAGTGTGCTGGCTCTGGCCTCTGATGTTCTAGCTGGGAAGAGGTGACACAGACAATGACTGCAAAGAGAGGAAAGTAAGCCAGACTTACACCTGTAGTCCTAGCACTGAGGAGGCCGACGTAGGACACTGCTGTGGGTTTGAGGCCAGCCTGAACAAACAACAACAGACAAAATCAAGAAAGGTATATACCTCCCTGCAGGTAAGACCACAGGAATATCTTATTTTCAAGGCTGCAGGGAGATAGCATGTAGCTTGCAGTCAGAGGTAGGCACTGGGGGATTGAACTAGTTAAAGAAGATCAGCAAGCTGTCAGAGCCAGAAGTGCATAGCCAAGCTTTTTATCAAAAGGTCCGGAGGAAGGAAGGCCCAGAATTCTTTCCAGAGGATTCCGTGCTTTCTGTCTACTTGTGTCTTAATCCCCTGCTTTCCGTTACCGACTGAGACTCAGTCTACAAAGGACTGACCAGGACTTTGGTTTATCCTCTTGTTCATCCCATGATCTGAATATTCTCTGCATCACTGCAGTTTTCTCAGGCAGATGCTGGACACTGGCATCCTCTTGCTTCTTCTAAGTAGGCCGGGCTCTCTCCTTACAGTTATTCCTCTCACAGTGGCCCCAGTTCCTCTGTAAGTGCATGCTCTTGCCTTGCATCTCCAGGCCAGTCCACATGTCACTAGAACAAGGGCATCTACAGGATAGGGGAACCCTTGGCTGTTGGTTTTCTCAATAAATCACTCACTAGTTTGCCTTCCAGTTCTGCCATCTGGTTTCAAGCACGGTTTGAGCTGTCCAGGGTCCTTGAGGGAAGCAGCATGATTGAAGATGAATTTGCTTTTCGTAATGCATGAAGAATTTCTCGTTTATTTCTAGACTTGGGTTGCTTTCCACTAGAGGTATTAGGGTGGCCAGAGAGTTCATGAGGTTCTCTCACCTTTAAAAAGAAGTCCCACCCAGAGTCCATCATGAATTGCAGCCTGAAGCAACAGTGCAAGAGACTGCACTGGGCTGACACCTTTGGCTTCAGAGATAAGAGATGATTCCAGCTCTCTAGCTTCCACAGTTATGATAAGGTCTTTCCATTTGCATACCAAGGTCCTACATTTTAAAGGCACTTGACATAAAGTGACCCCCGAAGTTTAATAATTAGGTGACATCTCTCCTCTACCTTGTCTTTCTGCTCTTGGACATTGAATAATTACAGGAGTGATTTGTCCCCCTTCTCAAATAAACTATTTCAGTGCATACATAGAATGGGTTTTGAGAGTTGGGACATGAGATATATTTGAATGGAGCATTGGCTGCCTCCAACTTTGCAAGTTGTCAAGGATTCAAATGTAGGTCTCTTTGATGATAAAAGAAAAATCTGCTAGTGCGTGGGTATGTGTGAGCATGCACACATGGAGGTCAACCTTTTGGTGCCTTTCTATATTACTGTCTTCATCTTGCATTTCATATAGACTGGCTGACCAGCAAGTCCCTGTGGTTTTCCTGTATTGACCTCTGGGACTGTGTTTATAGCTATTCCCCATCATGCCAAACTTTTACATGGGTGCTATAGATCTGAACTTGGATCTTCATCCCTACACAGAAAGCACTTTCTCTGCTGAGCCATCTCCCCAACCCCCACACCTTGTACTCTTAAGCACTGTACATGCTGCTGTGATGCAGGGACAGAAACACGGGACAGGACAGGCTTAAAGAGGTAAAGCAGGCAGATCACTGGATGAGTGGGGAAGTTGTGGAACCAGAGATCCACTGTGGGGTCAAGTGCCTGACTTGAGCAAATAGGTGACAGATGATCCAAGAAAAGAGAGAATGGGAAAGTCACTTTTAATCATGTTGAGTTTAAATTTCCATGAACACCTTAGTGTAAATGCCACAAGGCAAAGAGCAGAGTTAGAAGACAAAGGTCTGCAGTGACTCCTGGCCTCTGTGTTTGTCTTTATTATGGAATTAATAAGATGTTCTTGATTACAGGCTCACCGGGACCCAAGGGGAGTCCTGGATTCCCTGGTATGCCAGGCCCTCCTGGACAGCCTGGCCCACGGGGCTCAATGGGACCTATGGGACCATCCCCTGACCTGTCTCACATTAAGCAAGGCCGGAGGGGTCCTGTGGTCAGTATCTTCTCTGAGACCCATGTAATGTTGGGGGAGGGGTGTTCTTGTCCTTTAATTTTTTTAGTTAAATCAGATGCTGTGTCTTCTAGGGCCCACCAGGAGCACCGGGAAGACATGGCTCCAAGGTAAGTCTTACAAATGGTCCCTAACAGCTACGGGTCCATTTCTACCCAGTCGGGCATCCAATGAAGCTCCGCAAACCCTATTTATCTTTGAAAGTTGAAACACGGATATGAAGGTTGAGAATGGCAAGCCCCACAAGCACGAAAATCCTAAACATTTAGAGCACATGCAACACTGGCGGGGGAAGGGGGTGAATTTCGAGCTGGGTGTTGTGGCATAAGCATCTGTGTAATTATGATCACACTCGTGTTCCTCGCTAATCTGTGTTTTTTAGAATGGCCTCACTTGCTTAGGTGGAGAGCCACACACAGCTACAGTCTGCACAAGTGCTGGCTTCCCTCTTGAAAGTTGACAGCCACTTGTCTCATACAGAAGATAGGTTGGTGTTTCACACACTGCCTAGAAAGACAAGGTTCCTTATCAGCTCTGGTTTGAAAATACATAGCCTTGTGAGAACTCAGCCCCTGAGGCACTCAACATACGCTTACCAGTTTCAATAAGAGGTCCCCTGAACCCAGCTTCAACTCCAAATATATTTCCTGCAGGAGGATGGTTGTGGGTGGTGGGTGTCTAACTAGAGACAGTGGTGCTAACATCTGCATGCTCCAGAATGCTAACCCTCACCTTTCGGTTTTAGGGGGAGAGAGGAGCACCTGGGCCCCCGGGGTCTCCGGTAAGTTACACTGTCAGTCCTACTTACCCTGTGGGGATGCTTTCATGGATGTGGTACTCATAAAATGGTAGAGCTGGGGCTGGTGAGATGACTCAGTGGGTAAAGACACTTGTCATGAAGCCTGGATGACCTGAGTTCAATTTCTAAGACCTAAATGTTGGAAGGAGAGAACTGACCTCCATAGGAGTAGTATACATATCCCCACACAAATAAGTAATATTTAAACTTTTTTTTAAAAAAATATGTGTGTAGATTGGAGTTTCTGTCCCACCAGCCAGTTCCCAAATAACCACACAGAGCCTTTTTATTAATTATAAATACTCAGCCAATGGCTTAGGCTTGTTACTAGCTAGCTCTTACAACTTAAATGAACATATTTCTATTAATGTGCTGCCATGTGGCTCTTAGCTTGCTACCTCATTCTCTAAATGTCCTGCTCCTTCTGCAGCTGGCTGGCAACTCCACCCTTCTTCTGAGTGTTCTCACAGTCTCGCTCTCTTGACTAACCTAGCTATTGGCCAATTGGCTCTTTATTAGACCAACGAGAACAGCATATCTTCACATTATACAAAAGGATTATGCCACAGCATATATGAGTGGGTCTTAGTAGCAGAAGCCTACCCTCCTCAGCTGTCACTCAGGCAGTCGAGTCTGTGGTCAGGAGGAAAACTGTAGATGCTTTAAGCAGCTGTTTGAATTTTTAAACTTTGCTTTCTGATATTATTATTTCTTTGATCTTGATAATCTTTATGTGAAATATCTCATCTGAAGCATACCATCCCAGGAATCCATTTCCTAATGCATCATAAGATGTTTGAAAGAAGGGCCGAGGAGACACCTTAGTCAGTATAGTGCATGACATACAGGCAAGGGGACTTGAGTTCAAATCCCCAGAGTTCATGTGGAAAAGCCAATGGTTGTAGAGTGTACTTGAAATCCCAGCTCTGAGGAGGCAGAGATAGAGGGATCTCAGACAAACAGAATAGCATTTCCAAGCTAGTAATAGATCCTTTCTTAAAAAAACCAAAGTGGACAGTGTGTGACGAATGTCATCCAAGGTTGGCTTCTGGCCCCATTCACATCTGTATGCATGAGCACACACATGCACGTGCACACTCACAGACACATACACACACACACTGACTAGGTTACTTTTTTATTGCTGTGCCCAAACAGCATGATTAAAGAAATTTATAATAGAAGACATTTAGTTGACTTAAAGCTTCAGAGGGTTAGACCATCATGGCAGGGAGCACAGTGGCAGGCAGGCAGGCATGGTGCTAAGGTGTAGCTGAGAACTTACATCTTGGTCATCTTGGTTCATAAGCACTAAGCAGAGAGCTAACTGGGAATGGTGTGGGCTTTTGAAACCTCAAAGCCTGCGCCCAGTGATCACACCTCCCTCAGCAAGGGCACACTTCTTTTTTTTTTTTTTTAGCATCCTAACCTCTAACAGACCTGGTTAGCATACCAATTATGTTTGAAGGGCACACTTCTTAATCCTACCTAGACAGTTCTACCATTTGGGAAGCAAGCATTCAAATGTATGACTCTGTGAGGGCCATTCTCATTTAAACCAGCACATTCCACTCCCTAACCCCCATGGGCTTGTGGCCATATCATAATGCAAAATGTAGTTAGTACGACTTCAGAAGTCCCCATAGTCATTCATAGTCTCAACATAATTTGAAAGTTCAAAGATTTCTTAGACTCAACACCACCTCTGATTTGTAACACCTGTAAAATCAAAAGGCAAATTACATGTTTTTAAACAATGGCATAGAGTACACATTACCATTCTAAAAGGGAGGAATGGGTGCATAGTGGGGAAATTCTGGACCAAAGCAAGATGGAAACCTAGCCATGCAAACTCAAAATCATGTAGCTCCAAGTCTTATGTCAAAGGCTTAGACGGCTCTGCCCTTGCACACTTCTCTCTGGGTCTGGTTCCACTCCCTGTATGTAGCTCTCCCTGGTAGACATTCCACAACTTTGGTACCTCCAACATCCTGTGGTTTCCAACAAAACCCAGGCTTCATTTCCACAGCTTTATGCAATGGCCTCTCAGGGCCTCCCTGCAGGTACTCCCCAGCCACTCATTTGGCCTCAGCAACTCTCCTTAACTATGGGGGGAAGATTCTGCAGTCCCTTTACTCCTGTCTTTCCTGACTCTAAAGCCAGAACCACAGGGTTGATGGCTGCCAACTTCAGCTGACTGCTTGGGATAGAGCCTGGCACCCTCATTGAATTACATTTCCATGAAATTTCTTTTGTTGATGCTCTGTGGGAACAGCTAATTCTTTAGGTCTTTTCCTTTCACAAATTGAAGGATCAGCTGGGTGGGGTCTTGCCCTGAGGACATCACTCCCTTTATTCCATTTTACATTAGGTCTCTCCCATCTCTTTCATCATAAGCCTTAGTTTCGATGTGAATTTCCTGTAGTCCTTTTTCTTTGTAAACTGTACACTTTGCATTTCTTTTTTGCTCTGCTTGCTCATTTTCACTGTAGAAACCTGCACAACAGTAATTACTAGTAACCATGCAACTGAGTCAACACTGGGCTGTCTTGAAATCTTCTTTGCCAAAGAAATGAATTCGTTATTTTTCAGGGTTTTGCCTCAGGCAAATTTTTAGGACAAAGGCATAAAGCCACCACATTCTTTGCTAAAATACCACAATAATGGCCTCTAGTCCAGTTGCTAACACTGCTCTTCTCTGAAACCTCTTGGGCTGTAGGAATGCCTTCAGAGCTCCTACTAGAATGGCCCTTTAAGCTCTGCTTACAGCATTCAACTGCTTTCCTAGTCCAGAGTCCCAAAATCTTCTTACATAAACAGTGCACTTGGGCCTGTCACGGCAATAGTCCACCCACTGGTACCAATATCTGACTTAACTACCTTTCTGTTTCTAAAATGCCATGACCAAAGCAACTTTCGAAAGAAAGCGTTTAATTGGCTTATCGTTTCAGGGGATTCAAGTCCATGAGCACCATGGCGACAGGCAGGCAGGCATGGTACTGAAGCAGTAGCTGAGAGCTTACATTTGATCCACAAGCGCAAGGCAGAGAACTAACTGGTGTGGGCTTTTGAAACTTCAAAGCCGGCCCCCACTAACTCACCTCCTCTGATAATACCACACCTCCTAATCCTCCCCAAGCAGTTCCACCAACTGAGGACCAAGTATTCAAACATACGAGTCTATGAATGCCAGTGTCATCCAAACCAACACACACACACACACACACACACACACACACACACACACACACACGTGAAAGGACTAGACTAGAAATGTATATGTTGCCATAACCCAGAATACTTGAGAATTTAACCACTGCTATGCTAGAAGGTCAGATGACCACTCTAATAAAAGAGCAAAAGGACTTCTTGGCTTAAGAAGAAATTTGCTATATGTATATATGATTAATAAATGAGCAGAAATATGAGAAAATGCAAGCAAATCTGTTACTTCTGGAGAAGAAGTATCAAGAGGCCTTGGTTACCACCTCAGTTCTTGCTCCTATTAACTTTGTGACCTCAGGCTTTTACCTGACATCTCTTGACGTTCATTCCTCGCCTTCACATTGGGTCTGATTTGTCACACCGCCTGTATGTGTGTGGTGAGTATCAGATGGCATCAGATTGCTGCATCTGAGTGCATTGTGGTGTCTTTTGCAGTTTCTAAGGTAGAAGTTGTTGAATACCATCCATCTCGAATGTTGGGAATGATTTTACCTTTAGACTTCTAATGTACTCACAGAACATTCATGCATGCTTACAAGCTTCTAGTTTTTCTTTGCACCATGCTCTACCATAGCACTGCATAAAAATTAAAGCTTACCAGATATTACACATGATGGAGAGTATATAATAATTGAATAAGGAAAATTTGGTTTGAATCCTTCTAGACAATAAGGATGGACAATAAGGACCAACATACTCTCTACTTCATTTAGTTTCTCCTCTTATAAATATATTAATAACTTAATTTTTTAAAGGAGAGGAGAAAACATTTTGAACTGTCCATTCTCTCAAGTCCTTTGCATTCATTCTACTAAATGTTCACCTCTGAACCTAGTGGATACCTGCGATGGCGAATCTGCATTTTACAAGTGGGGAAAGCTTAAACAAAAAAAATCGGGTCATTTGCATGGCCACACAACTTGGAGAGGTTGGGTCAAATCCAGCAGAATCTTAACTTCTTGACCCCCCACTCTGACTTCCAAATCTCTTTGGAAGCACCCCTGAGAAAGTAGGGGTGCGTGTGTCACCAGTGTTCATGTGTGAGAAGGGTACTGGAGGTCAATCCTGAGGATCCCAGACTGCTCATGTAGTCGTTAGGTCTACTCTGTTTGAGTTACAGCATTGGTTAGATGGTAGTCATCCACAGGTCACAGGACTCCCAGGCAGCAAAACTTGGCAGGATGCTGTTGTGACAAGTGACTATAACTTCACAGCTCTGATTCCTCCCACATGTGCACAGGGACCCCCGGGTTCTTTCGACTTCCTGTTACTTGTGCTGGCTGACATCCGAAATGACATTGCCGAGCTGCAGGAGAAGGTGTTCGGGCACCGGACTCACTCTTCGGCAGAGGATGTTCCCCTACCTCAGGAATTCTCCAGCTACCCGGAGACTCTGGACTTTGGATCTGGGGATGACTATTCCAGAAGAACTGAAGCAAGAGACTCTGAGGCCCCCAGAAACTTTTATCCGTAGCACATTCCATGTCTTCATGCCACCAGAAGAGAAGTTTCTCCTGGTCATAGCATCTGAAAGAAAAAAAAATACCACTGGAGGCCTAAAGCCTTTGTCTGTACCGCCTTCCTGTCCTCTCTCCACTCTGCTTCCAAATCCTGTTCTCCAAGTGTCCTTCACATCCCACTAGCAACAGGAGGACGTGACAGGCTAACTTGCTGGTCTTGAGAAGCCACTGTTGTCATCGGGGTTTCCTTGACATCCTGGTTTTCCAGGAACTTTTGAGTTCCTAAGTGAACTGCTCCCACAGAATCTTAAACTTTGAGAGAATGCCAAAAGGGAGGAATGGCAAAGTGGGCTCTCAGAAGTATAAGGCTCATTCTGAAAAGAAAATTATGTTTAAAATGCTTGACTATTTGCCCTATACTGTCAGGGCAAACTCTTCAGTTAAAGGGGGTAGAAGGAGTACAATGTAAATTGGTGTTGGTGTTGGAAAATGGCTTTTCCTTAGCAACATCACAGATTTCAAATTCTGCATCCTATTTTCCAGCCTTGATATATGTGCCCTGGCCCTGACGGGGTGACCAGAGGTGCCATCTGTCCCTGATCTTGGCTGAATCAAGACTGGAGGGAGTTGCTGACCTGGAATTGGCAAAGGGTGACGGGGGGGGGGGGGCATTGAGAAAGGGCTTCACTAAGGCTAGATCACCAGAGAGATTAATCCGCTCTTAAGACATTTTGGAGTCCATATCCATAGCCAGCCAAGCTAGCAAGTGCGCTGGGAATAATGCACAGCAGAGAGGTCTCTGACACAGAGAAGGGGAAGAAGCTTTCTTCTAATCTGGCATAGTTTGCCACTGTTTTCCCCTGATTTAGTTAAAAGCCCTGTTCTAGGTCTCCTTGACTTTTTCTCCAGGTCCAGGTGGAGATGGCTTGGAAGAAAGCACGTTCTCCAATGTCTCCATGAGTCCTTTCTTAGAGCACTTCTAGATCCCCAGAGGAATCATTGTCCCACAAAGAACGAGAGACAAGGTTCCTTCGTGGTGTCTGTGGGATCTCTTGAGCTTCTCAAGGGAACGTGCTCACATGGTGGTCTACACCAGGGTCTCTGTTTGCTATCGTGCAGTATCCTCTTGTATTTCTAAGAGGTTTCCTTTTAGCTTTTCCCCATATCCTTACAGCCCCCATCATCTCCCAACCCCTACTGTGACATCTTGTTGGAAGAAAACTGCTCTTGGGTTTGCATGACCCTGCACTATCCATTCTTCCTAAGCAATGAGAAGGGATTCTGTCTACAGAGCTCAGGTCACCCAATGATCTTTCGCTTCCTCTCCCTTTCCTTTGCCCCTTCTCTCCTTCCTGCCCTCTATCCTTTTCCCTGCCCCCTCTCTCTTTCCTCTCCCTCTCTTTGTCCCTCCCTCCCTTCCTCTCCCAGTCCCTTTATTTCTCTGGCTTTCTTCCCCCCTCCATCCCTGCTTGCCCACTGGCCTTCTCCTGTTAAAAAGGCAGTGGGAGCACTCCATGATGCTAAAAACCAAGTGGCTGCCCACCAGCATGTCATGGTAAAAGGCAAACACACAATTGTACTGCTTGCTTTCTGTCTCTTCCTCCTTCCCCCTCAGTCTCTTCAGGGCCTGAGCATCACCACAGATGGCCTTGCCAACCATGGCTTCCTGAAGAGATGGATGTTCCTGAAGAGATGGATGCAACCACAGTCAAGCCCCACCTGGAATCGATTGAATGCTTGCCTGCTTATAGAACCCAGAGTTTCAAGGGTGTGGATGGATGAAGTCTCAAAACTATGCAAGGCTCTGTGAGCAATGAGTATGTCCATCTTTTTTATGAGGAATTTTATAAGCTCTGCTTTTTCTAGACAGTGAAATGTGTGTAGAAACATAATCTTTATTACCAAATGATGGTAAAATACAAGCACACTCCATGCCTGGCCAGAGGCCAGGATACTAAAAGAATGGAGCGAAAGTCATAATATGTGGGATTCATGAGTCTATTCTAGATAATCATCTCCAGTAAAACATACAATAGCCTGTATTTTGTAACCTCAATCTGCTGGAACAGGTCACTTTAGGTAATCATTACTCCTCAGATTTTAAAAACTTGGACTAGTAACTAACTATAAGACCAAAGTGTATCCTCTACTTGTCCAAATTATGGTTTGTTTGGGTTTTTGGTTTTGTTTTATTTGGTTTGTTGTTGGTTTCTTTTTTTTTTTTTGGTGATAAAGCATTATCGCCCGTGTATCTTTTAGTTGAGGATAGAAAAAAAATCAAAGCTTTACTATCTAAACAAACTTCTGCTCAAAATCCCCTGGGAAAGCCTTTCGAAGGAAGTACAGTTCAAAACAGATTTACTGAGTCACCTCATATCTCATGGCAAAAGTGTTTCTTTTTAATACTTCCCCCAACCCTGCAGTAGGATTGTTCAACTTTTCTAGTATCCCCACAAATAAGACTTGGCAGTAAATTGCCTCTGAGTTTATAAAGCAATGAGAATAAAAACTCACTGAACAAATGAAGAAATCCATTTTAGTTCAGAAAAACTACTCTCCCTTCCCAGTTCCAGGGGGGAAAATAATTAGGTTTCCTGTACCAAACAAAGTATTAGGAGCCAGAGACAGTGGTATATGCCTGTAATTCCAGCACCTGAGAAGTAGAAATAGGCAGGTCAGGAGTTCAAGGTCAACCTCAGCTACATAGCAAGTTTGAGGCCAGCCTGGACTACATAAGAGCCTATATCAAAATAATACTAATAATGATGATGACAACGATGATAAATAATAATAGTAATGAGAAGGGACTGGAGAGATGACTTAGCAGTTAATGATGCTTGCTCCTCTTCCAGAGGGCCAGAGCTCAGTTTCCAGCTCCTGCATCAGGCAGCTCACAAACTCCTCTAACCCGAGTTCCGGGTGACCTGATAACCTCTTCTGGCTTCTGTGGCACCTGCACTCACATGCACATATGTACACATAGATACACATGCACACACTTAAAAATAAAGTCTTTTTTAAAAGGAGTAGGTACAAAGAGGATGCTGCCTTTTCTTGCTATCTATATTACTCTCCAATACTTGCTACAGAATTAACTAGAGTCATATCGCAATGTAGAGTCCATTGTCCAACAGGTAAATAATAAAAGCCCATTGACCTTACAGGGAAAGAAGGAGTATTATCTCACCCAAAGACCAGGTGCAGAGCACCCAGGTAGGTCCAGATAGGTCATGTTTTCTTCCCAAAGTTCTGGACAACCTTGTCTTGAGGTTGTCACTATCAGGAATGTTGGGACAGATCTTATTCATGGCCAGGCATCATACTTTATCTTGGGGGTCTCAGGAAGCAACTCTCCACCTTATTTTGAGTATCAGTTCCCTCTTCTTCCCTTATCCAGGCTGCCTAACAGAGACAGCCTCAGCAGCCATTTCCTTGCAAGCAAAATTATCTGCCAGGCAACCTTTCTGAAGGGGAAAGTCATTTGCTGGAATCTGAGCCAAACAATTCGTAGAAAGGAGCCTTCTAAAGTTATTGGTCATGTATGCAGGGAAAGAGATGTATTGTTTCCTGACACGGCAATCGTGTATGTCTTACAACATATCACAAATAACTTTCTAGTCAGATAAAAGAACAAGGGCTCTAATTGTTAAAGCTGAAGTGATGTGCTTTATACCACTCCTCCTACAAATGTTGCCATCAGAGAGAAATCATGGAAAGGACGTTTGGGCACCATATCCCTCAGGGATCTAAGCATGTTTTGTCAGATTCCCAGAGCTTGATCCCTGAGGGGGACAGGGGGCGGTTCATGAGTCTGTTTTTATTTACCGGTAATTGGCCATATACTTCAGTATCTCTATGCATTATTTATATCAGATCATATAACAGTCAAACTAATATTCCAACAGTCATGGATGTAATACTATGAAGTACTTTGTATGACTGTATATGCTTAATAACAAAGTTATTTTTCTTAAATGGGTCTCTTGTGTTTTGTCCTGGTAAAAGGAGCCATCCTCTGGCCAACTGAATACAGTGCAACCATTACTTTTCTTGTTGTGTGCCAAAATATCTGTATGATGAAAGAAATTTAAGGAAGTTTTTTGGGGTTTTCTATTCTTTTTTTTTTTACTTATGGTTTGAGGGGCACTTCATGGTGAGGAAGTCATGGCTACATGATGTCATGGTGGCTAATGATATTGCATTTGTCATCAGGAAGCAGAGATATGTGCTTCCTTGTTGATTTTCAGCCTCTCTGAGAACTAAGTACCTATCTGCTTCCTTCCTAGACTAAAGGCCCTCGGAGGGCTAAGGATATGGTTTATCTGGTAAAATGTTTGCTGTGCAAGCATGAGCACTTGCATTCAGGTCCCAGCACCCACATAAAAATCTGGGTGCTTCTGTAATCCCAGCACTGGGGAGGCAGAGACAGGAGGATTCTTGGGGCTTGTTTGGGTTCAGTGAGAGGCCCTATTTCCAAAAATAATGTGGAAAAATGATTGAGGAAACACCATCTATCGACCTTTGGCTTCTATTTGCATCCCTGCACACATCCACACTGATGATATGTGTAACACACACACACAGAGTCCCCGGGAACAAGAACTTTGCTTTTCTGTATTGGGCATCTGAACAATTCCCAATATACATAAATAGTTGAATAAACTAGATTTAGCTAAAGTTTATTCTTCATGAACCCCTAAAGCAGTTGCCTTTATTATCACACACACACACACACACACACACACACACACACACTGAGAGGTAAATTATCTTGTCAAATGTCACAAAACTAAAAACATTTCTAATAAAAGGTGTATTTCAGAACATTCAAGAATCACTGTTTGTTGACTCTGTAAGCATATCACAGACATACACACATTTTTTCCCTAATTGGGAATTGATGGGGGATGTCCTGTATATATGTTTCTCTTATTGGTTGGTGAATAAAACACTGATTGGCCAATATGGCAGGAAGTTAGTCAGGATGAGGAGAAGAGGAGAATTCTGGGAAAAGTAGGCAGAGGAATACCACGAAACAGTCACCTTGTAGGCCACAAAGGAATAACAGGTCTGGACCCTTCTCCGGTAAGATAAGACCATGTGGAAATACTTATATTAGTAGAAATGGGTTAATAATTAAGACAGAGCTAGCCAATAAGAAGCCCTAGCCATCAGCCAACAGTTTAATAATATAGCGTCTGTGTGTTTATTTGGGCCTGAGAAGGGCAGTGGGACCTGCGGGACAAATGACTTCCATAACAAAATGTGAATCACATATAAGGCCTCTACAATGCAGAAGATAACACAAAGAAAGTGTGTTAACAATACAGGGCCATTGCTTCCCAGTGCTCTACTCTACTCTAGATGCTATGAAGTGCCTGAAATGTCTAAGTATGGCCATTAAGATTGTCTTCGGTGACCAAGAAAAAAAATAGCAAAGCTAATATAGTTACTCCCCAACACTAACTTGGAGTCAAGACTCAAAGAGGAGAAACAGAAGATTTAACAAATAGTCTGATACAAGGAAACATACAATTGTTTGGGATAATTTTTATGTCAATTCCTTTTTAACATCCAATGCCAACATATTTCACATTGAGCTGCTTGCAAACAGTGGGGATTATGAAGTATGTTCTTATTCTGTCTCTACACCAAACTCTTACAAAGCAGATAGTAGTCTAGTGTGTGGAATTGATGACAAGGTAACGCATAGAAGTCTTGAGGAGTGACCAGCTAGATCATAACTTCAGTGGTTTTTCAAATGCTTCTGACCATGCCCCACTGAGGAAGTGTGGTTTACACAACATGACAACACGTAACACTTGTGTGCTTATCATTGAAGCAAACACTTCACAATGTTTACTCTTTTACAGTATAGACTACACTATCATGTTCTCTATACACAATTGGTTTTGATTTGGGTCACACCACTGAGTTGTCTTCATGACTTACTGATGGCTAGCAGCCTGTAACTTGAAGACCACTTGACTAAATCAGCCCCCCCTCAAACTTAGCTGTACAGACCATCTGCAAACCCTTATGAAAATGAAGACTGACTCAAGGGTTTGAGGACTACATTCTTGCAAGCTCCCAAGAGATGTGATGTGTTCTTTTTTTATTTAATTTAAATTAGAAACAATTTTGCTTCACATGTCAATCCCAGCTCCCTCTCCCTCCCCTCCTCTCCTGCCCCCTTCAACCCTCCCCCAACCCCTACTCCACTCTCCAAGGAGTGTGAGACCCTTCATTGGGGTTCCCAAAAGTCTGTCATATGATCTGGGGCAGGGCCTAGGCCCTTCCCAGTGTGTCCAGGCGGAGACAACATCCTCCACGTGGAATGGGCTCCCAAAGTCCATCTGGATGACAGGGCTAAATGCTGATTTATTGCCTGAGGCCCCAAAGGATGCTGAGGCCTCCTCACTGACACCCACACTGAGGGAGGGGGTCTGAATCATTCTCATGCTGGCCTCTCAGCTATCAGTCTGGGGGTCTATGAGTTCCCCCTTCTTCAGGTCAGCTGTTTCTGTGGGTTTCACCAGCCAAGTCATAAACCCTTTGCTCATCACTCCTCCCTCTCTGCAACTGGGTTCCAAGAGTTCCGTTCAGTGTGCAGCTGTGGGTGCCTGCCTCTGCTTCCTTCAGCCACTAGATGAAGGCTCTAGGATGGCATACAAGGAAGTCGTCAATCATGTTATCAGGGAAGGGCATTTAAGGTAGCCTCTCCACTATTTCTTAGATTGACAGTTGCTGCCATTCTTGTAGGCCTCTGGACATCTCACTTCAAACCTATAATGGCTCCTTCTTTATGGTATCTCTCTTCCTTCTCTCCTCTATTCTTCCCCCCCTACTCAACTTTCCTGCTCCCCCATGTCCTCCTCTCCCCTTCTCTTCACCCCCTCTCTTTCTCCCAGCTTCCTCACACCTCCTCCCTGCCCCCCCTCATGCTCCCAATCCCCTCAGAAGATTTTTTTCCTGTCCCCCTTCTCTGGGTTACAATGCATATCTCTCTTAGGATCTTTCCTATTTCCCAGACTCTGGCTGGGGATGTAGGCTGGCACTCCCCTATTTCAGGCCTAAAATCCATATATGAGTGAGTACATACCATGCTTGTCTTTTTGTGACTGGGTTACCTCACTCAGGATGCTTTCTTCCAGTGGCATCCATTTGCCTGCAAATTTCAAGATTCCATTGTTTCCTTCCACTGAATAGTACTCCATTGTGTAAATGTACCACATTTTCTCTACCCACTCTTCAGTTGAGGGGCATCTAGGTTGCTTCCAGGTTCTGGCTATTACAAATAATGCTGCTATGAACATAATGGAACAGATGTCCTTATTGTATGAATGGGCATCTTTTGGGTATATGCCTAAGAGTGGAATTGCTGCATCTTGCGGTAGACTTATTCCCATTTTTCTGAGGAATCTCCATACTGATTTCCAAAGTGGCTGTACGAGTTGGCCCTCCCACCAGCATGGAGGAGTGTTCCCCTCTCTCCATATCCTCTCCAGCATAAGCTGTCGTTGGTGTTTTTGATTTTAGCCATTCTGACAGGAGTAAGATGGTATCTCAGGGTTGTTTTGTTTTGCATTTCCCTGATGGCTAAGGATGTTGAGCACTTTCTCAAGTTCCTCTCAGCCATTTTAGACTCCTCTATTGAGAATGCTCTATCTAGTTCTGTGCCCCACTTTCTAATTGGATCATTTGGTGTTTTGGAGACTTGCTTCTTGAGTTCTTTGTAAATTTTGGAGATCAGCTCTCTGTCAGATGTGGGGTTAGTGAATATCTTTTCCCATTCTGTGGGCTGATGTTTTGTCTTGTTGACTGTGTCCTTTGCCTTACAGAAGCTTCTCAGGAGGTCCCATTTATAAGTTGTCGATCTCAGTGTTTGTGCTACTGGTGTTATGTTCAGAAAGCAGTCTCCTGTACCAATTCATTCAAGGGTACCTCCCACTTTCGCTTCTAAGAGTTTCAGTGTGGCTGGATTTATGTTGAGGTCTTTGATCCATTTGGACTTAAGTTTTGTGCATAGTGATAGACATGGATCTATCTGCAGTCTTCTACATACCAGCATCCAGTTATGCCAGCACCATTTGTTGAAGATGCTGTCTTTTTTCCAATGTATAATTTTAGCTTCTCTGTCAAAAATCAAGTGTTCGTAGGTGTGTGGGTTAGTATCAGGGCTTTCAATTCAGTTCCATAAGTCTACCTGCCTATTTTTGTGCTAATACCAAGCTGTTTTCAGGACTATAGCTCTATAATAGAGCTTAAAGTCAGGGATGGTGATACCTCTGGAAGTTCCTTTATTGTACAGGGTTGTTTTGGCTATTCTGGGTCTTTTGTTTCTCCATATAAAGTTGAGTATTGTTCTTTCATGGTCTGTGATGAATTGTGCCAGTATTTTGATGGGGATTGTGTTGAATCTGTAGATTGCTTTTGGCAAGATTGCCATTTTTACTATGTTAATCCTACCAATCCAAAAGCATGGGAGATCTTTCCATTTTCTGGTATCCTCTTTAATTTCTTTCTTCAAAGACTCAAAGTTCTTTCGATATAGGTCTTTCACTTGTTTGGTTAGCATTATCCCCAAATATTTTATGTTGTTTGTGGCAATTGTGAAGTGTGATGTTTCTCTGATTTCTTTCTCAGCCCATTTATCATCTGTATGTAATAGGGCTATTGATTTTATTTTGAGTTAACCTTGTTTCTTGCCACTTTGCTGAAGGTGTTTATCAGTTGTAGGAGTTCCCTTGCAGAGTTTTTCGGGTCACTTATGTACAGTGCCCTCAGAGTCCAGGAAAAGGTGTCAGATCCTTCTAGCATAGGTTCTGGAAACCAAACTCAGGTCCTTTGAAAGATCAGCAAACACTCTAATTGCTGAGACACCTTTCCAGCCCCAAATAAACCACATTTTTATAAAGCACTTAAAAATACTCAGAATTTCATAACCAAAAAGAGGAGGTTGTTAGGGTCAATCC